ACAGTACATGTATGTTGCACATGTACATGTATATATGTACATACCAGTACATGTCATAGTGTACAGTACGCATATACTCTACGTGAAAAACAGTAAACTGGAAGCAAATAACACAGATTTGCTAAGATAAATGTACATGTATGTACAGGGGGGTATTTAATCAGCGTTAATGATACCGGTAGCAGTACATGTACACTGTACACATGTACACATGCACGTCTGCAAATATACCGGTATGTACGGTACAATGTTGACAATGTGTTGTACAAGTAGGCAATGATTGCAACACATGTACATGTACACATGTGAATCAACATGTCGGTACATATGGTACATGTATGTATGTACATTCATGTATGTTTATGACTGTAGATTGACATTCTTCCAAATGTTGCAATAACTACAGTAGGGCAAGTATGGGTGCAGTGGCAGACACAAAAAGTGCTTTGACATCATTGGCTTTTCTTCTGTCCTTGGTCAACATCAGCTTAACTGTCATGAATGTGCCAAGTGTCATCCAATATCATTGGACAAATGAGGTTTCAGTACAAATGTACAGTACACAACTGCAGTTTGCCAGAATACTCTTCTGAACATTTTACATAATACTGCATTCTTCAAAGGCTCCATGCAATGGGGAAATGAAACCTTACACTCCATTAATTGTTCTCAAGCTCGGGTTCTTCGAACAAATTTGTCAGTGTAGCCTGCTGCCCTTTATTACAGAAATCGCCAACCAGGCAAAATGCAAGGCCACCACATCAAAAATGTACAGGTACACTACAGTATGATCTCAGTAATTGACTAAGCACTGTCAATCTCAGGTGCAACTTGCACCAATAGGGTACTTCTACATGTACACTTCGTTTTATGCACACTGTGACTTTTACTATAACTCACATTGTGTACATGTATACAGGAAGGCCTCCAGAGTGTTTAATAAGGGGATAATTTCATTTGTCTGTGTAGGAAAAAACATGGTCAACACTTTGCAGTCCCTTTTATCTGACATAGCACCTGTACATGTACATGTGCCCAGGCAGGGACCCCAAGATGGGAAGTTTATCTAGGCAGATCAGAACTGAGTTATGGGGACATTTTCTCTGTCCCAACATTCTTGTCCTCAAAATCGGTGTGATGAGACTGTGGAACACATACCCCAGGTTTTTCACGTAACGTACATGTAACATGACAGGCAAAAGTATGTCAGGAAGTGTACACGTACATGCATCCATGTAGGCACGTGCATTTTCAATTCTGTGCATTTCTATTGGCAAGTTCGTGTACTCCAGAATGTTAACGGTAAGAGACTTCGAAGGCACATGCATTTTTGACCTTCAAATATCATGTGACTGAAATCCGCTGTCCCTACAGCTACCGGTATGAACAAGCATGGGTCTACATGTACCCAGTATGTACATGTACATGTACCCAGTATGTACATGCAGGCAGGCAGGCAGTTCAGGTGATTTTTTAAAGGAAAGAAAATACACTTACAAAATACACTACATGTACATGTACAGTATATGATAGAGCAGGACCTCATCAAAAGAATCCTTTTGGAATTTTTCAAATACGACATTGCATTGAGGAGTTACAGGCAATTATATGTCATAAAATGAGGGCAAAATTTAGCCAAGAGGTCAAAGGTCATCTCCTATTTTCTTTATTACTGTTTTGGCATCATTGAGATGACTGCATGAATGAAGATTTTTTTTTTTATCCATATTCCATGGTATCAGCCTTGATGAATATCTAGTATTAAAGCTTTAGTATTAAATATGTACATGTACCGTATATGTACAGTACAGTACACGTGTACATGTGTACACACCAGCCGGGCCGAGCTTTGTGCATGTGCACACGTATAGGTTGGGAAGTGCAAAGCTTTTTAATGCTCGGACCCAAAACTACCCCATAAAGAACGGCATTTTGCTGAAAAACCTCAAATCAAATTACATTCATATTTAGAATCATAAATCTGTAGGTGATACTTATTATACACACTAGAGTGCTTTCTGATTTGTCAGTTCAAAATCCAATTGATGACGATTTGAAAAATGTTATTGGCTCGATGGTGTTGACAGCATCAGTCGATTGTCAGGCGCTAAAGCCGATATAAACCGAAGGTCTCCTTCTCTCCAATGATGACGTATTCTAAGGGATTGGTCCTATAGAAACCTAGCGATTTTCGACTGAAAGTCACCGACCTAAAAGCGTGAGTTTGCGAAGTTTCCTGAAAGTGCTTGCCAACCGCTGTGTGTGGAGCGGAAGTAGCGCCCGTCACAGGAATTGTACAGCAAAGAGTGCGTCGCGTGTGTAAATGAACGAGAGCTCAAGTTTTGGCAACGGAAGTGCTCGTGTGGGTGAACTGCCCATGTACGGTACATGTACATGTGCATGTATGTACATGTATGATATAGTACTTCCTCAAATGATGCATCATGTACAACATTTGTACACGTGCCAGAAAATGTGTAAAATGTATTTTTGAGTGGCATCCTTTCCTACATGTACATGTATTTTGTTCACTTACATTACAACCCTAAAATCTTGAAACTGAGGTTTAAAAATAAAATGTATACAGTGTATATCACAATTAAAAATGAAACAGTAAACGTGTGTCCACTCAATGTACACGTCTCCCTTATTTTTTAACTGCTTTTCTCTTACAGCAACAATTTCCATTTATAAGGTCTTTGTTGTTATTATGTGGCCTCACCTATACCGCTATGTACATAATAGCATGTGAAAACACATTAAAGTGGGTGGAATATTCAGTCTTTATCATTATCATTGATAATTTCTGAAAATGACACCAAGGATTCCTCAGAAGTGCCCCAGGCACTGTAGCTTGCAAGCCTGAAAAAACCTGTAGAGAGGAGATAATGAGAAGCAGTTACAGTTTTAGAGGTGGGAGGAAAACCCCAGAGGAATATTCTGGGTAAAACCCACGGAGTCAAGTAGGGGCTGAAAACCCAATCCACATGTGGATTCGAATCCGAGACCACACAGGTGGAAGGTGAGGAAAGAACCAGGACATCAACCTGTCTTGGTGCACTTACATACTGTACACATGTATGTACGGTACACTCTCACCAAATGACGTTAATGTACATGTACACGTACCGGGTACATGAACATGTACCAAATGAATGTGAAGAAGCACTGCACTGTTTGCAATCCAAACAAACTCACTGGAATGATCTCAATATATGACAAATAACAGCATGAGACTTGTTTAAAAGTTTCGGCCCAACGGAAAATCTACAAATGTAGGTCGATGTTATATCAGCTTTCCATCCATCCCAATAATCCCTGTAGTACTCTGGTGTTCCCTAATTACACACAAATGTCAGTTGCGCATCCTCCCGTCACTGTGGCTGCACAGTCAAGCTGACCCACGAGTTCAAAATTCTCAGCAGCAGTCAGCATAGCTGGCATAGCGTGAGGGCTTCCATTCAGTCCCACTGTACACACCAGAGGTCACGTTATTGGGGCAATGGGAACATTAAAAGAATGGACTGGGAGGGGAAGGGGGTCTAAAGGTCTCTCTGTGACATCTCCTGAATAGCTGCCCTGCTGCATGACGTCACTACACACATTACACTTGCATGACGTCAGTTCACCAGTGGTGTACATGTACCATTTGCCAGTTGTTGCTGATACATGTTCGTAGCAATGTTAACCCTAACCCTCCTCAATCCTCCATCAGGTGAAGGATTCAGGAGGGTTAGGGTTAAAGAATGATACAGTGTAACACATATGCATGAAGTACATGTACAAAATGGCAAACTGACCTACATACACTGTGTATGTTGTATATCTCAGCCGGTTGGAAACTACAAATGCACAGGTACCGTACATGTACAGTGTACAATGCATAGTACACTTACATGTACCGGGTACCAAAATACCATGGCTCAGTTAACTGTATGACCACATACTGGTATCATATGAAATTTCATTTTAAAGCTTTCTACATGTACATTGCTCTGAATAGCATATTTTTCAAACAAATTTATTTAAATTGGAAAAACCATGAATTTTAAATCTATCCTCTACAGTTATAATCGTGGAAGATGCTTGTACATGTAAATGTATCGGTACATGTACATGTAGATTTCACTGGACCGGAAAACAAGAACTTAAGTTAATTACTCATCAATTTTCTTAACTGCTTGTCTACAACTGTATTTAAGTGAGGACATGCATGAAATCAAAATTCTACATGTACTTCTTGTTTCATTATTTCCAAAAATTAGAGAATTAAATGTAATTGAAAAGGTAAGATGAAAACTGACAAACTAAGGATCTCATACCAGATTGTAACAAAGGCACTTGTCAATGAACACACAAATTATTCAAAATTCTAACAACTGCAGAGTCCACTGCAATTACCGGCCGGTAAAACGGCAGGTGCAAATAAACTGGCAATCAATATCAACCATGAACTGTACATGTAATCATGTACATGCATGTACAGGTATAGCATACAATGTATGCAGTGTTTGATCTGCCGCACAGCAAATCCATGTGTAAAACTTCATGGATTATACATGCAGGTTCCCTGCATGAACACAGGAGGGCGCTTTGTCACCCAGCAACAACATCCCTTGGGCAGATACACCGTTCGAAACAGAGCATCCACAACAGATTGAATGAATGTGCACACACCCATCACGTCTGAGTCATTCAAACACTCTACTCTGCATGTATGTCCATGTACATACTGGTAAATGTCCTACACATGCGATGACTTCAACTCGACCCTGTATGATGACCCAAACAACTTGGTTGCCTGAACTTGGTTAAAAATGCTTCAAACCTTATAATCCATTGGAATGTTTTGCAATCATCGTGAGCAATAAGACCAAATAACCCTACATCCCGAGTTAATCTTGTCTATATGTATCTCCATTTCTTGTACAACTGTCCACCTGTCACATCTCTACACCCTCCCACACACTACCAAATCCCTTGGGGTACACATACCATACCTATAGTTTCCCTGAGTTCTTGGCACATTGAAATATGAGGGAATTTGAGTAATTGCTTCCACTTCTTGCTACGTCCTTTCCTCTTCCCGCCTCCACCTGTGAGTAACAAGAACGAAAACCTCATGAGTAAAAGCATAACAAGTGAACTCATTAATGTATACAGGCCCATTAATTATTTTCCTTCGGATTTCCAGGGATGCCAAGTTTTAAAAAAGAGTTTTACAAGTGCATACTGTACATGCAGTATGTAAAGCCAACATTTTTACTGATTGGACTACGAACATTATAAAATATGGTAGGGTTTGCAAAATCAATATTCTTGGGGAAAAAAAGTCAGCTTGCGTTTACATACACATGTACACGTACGATTAAATTAATAATAACATACTGCTAAAGTGTCCAAGATCAGCAATGAAAGAATAACTGGTTATTCAAGTACAGTCCATGTACAGATACTTTTAACAAGAGACCAGTATCAATCTACAATACATGCTTTTTTTCCGATTTACTCAAATGTTGCATTTAGGGAAACCATTTTTTAAATTTCTACCAAATACTAAGACTCCCATTTTGGGCAGAACAAAATTGCAGGTTTAGCGCACTCATAATCAAACTGTTTTTTTTTCAATGCTGACCTAACGTGCCATAAGACTGGTACATGTATGTATGTCTAGACTTCAAAGCTAAGTCCTCAATGCCAAGTCAAGATTACAGTAAGTTACAGGATAAATTGCTCCTAAACTGCTTTCCAACCTTACATGTACATTGGTTAGAAATGAGTATACAAGTACAATGGTCATTTACCCTTAGAAGCTTATAAATATATGAAATAAATATTTGGGGGGGGGTTTAAATATGCATTTAAAACCGGCTCAGGAGAATGGATGTGGCTTGCTTAACAGCATTCATTCTCTTGAGCCAGTCTTAACGTTTAAGACCGACTAAGCACATGTTCATTCCCATTCATAAATAACATTTTAATAGTGCGTTAGTCAGAGTCAAAAGAAGTCCATGTACAATAAATTTCCAAGGACTTTGTTAATTTGTTTCAATTTTCCCAACACCCCCATCCATTTCATGGTATATTCCTTGTGCAAGAAGTCCAGAAGAATCTCCTTATATGGCCTTGGCGTGTGTGTGGACAGTTCTGAGTGCTGAGTGCTACGGCGCACATAGACTCTTGATCAATAGGGATGGATTAAACTGTCTTGTATTTGGGTGCCAGAGCATTTTTCATACAGCGAGCACTTTCAAATCTCAGCAGGCATTATTCAATGTTAATACACAATCACATTGTGCATTGTTGAATAGAAAAAATTGTCTGAGGTATTTATGAATCATGTCTTAAGCACAGAACACTTGTCGTGCAACACTGGAAATGTGGCTCCATGTGTGTGGCATTCGACATCTTAATGCAAACCAGTAAAATGACAGTGTATTTCAGCTGGGCTAGTCACATTGAATTACAGTGAATGTGATTAAATTGCCCACAAGATGCATGTGAGGTCTTATCACTCATTATTAATTTACAAAAACCCAAAAATATATTGGCAAATACGGGTAGTAAATTGATTGGAGGTTGACATGAGAGAGTAATGATGGGAAAAACTTTTGTTTCACCACTCAACAATTAACTAAAATGTAAACTGAAAAGAAATCGGTAGTTATGCACACGTACACACTGAAGATGTACAGTACTTACATGTACACAGTGTACTAGTACATGTACATGCTTGGGAACAAATGTACAATAAATTTTTGACAAATTGTCACAAAGTTAATAATCGTTGCTACAAAAGAGTCAGTTCAAATAAATTGGGGCACACATGCCTTTTTGCATGTGTTTCTCAAAAGAGGGTAATGTTACATGGTATGGTTCATACTGTGCAAAAACAGCTCTCTAAATAAGACAGCCTACTGGTAAGAAAAAGATCACATACATTGTACGGTATCGATCATTACATTTGACATATTACATGTACGTTTAGAAACTTCTACACATGTACAATGTACATTAGAAATATCACACTGGTCTCAACTGCAATGTACACAAAACATGTAGGCATTGGTGGTACTACTTACAGCATGTATGCAATGTTGAAGCCTATTACATGCACATGTACAGGTAAATGTAACTCTTGCTTAGCTTTATGGAACCATTCTCCCGGTACATACATGTACAATGTGCATGTATTACTGATAATAATGTGACACAATGCTAGCATGAAAGGGAGACATCGTAAATCACGGGCACTGTTGCTGAGTGTTATTAAAAATGCATCCCCAGTAGACCTCAAGTACTAACTGTCGCCGCCTCCAACACCCGCCAGAGCTCCGCACTCATAACCGGAGCGCAATTAAATATGAAGTGGCAGTCGCACATCAGCTACTCGCATTTGTGCTGTGGGGAATGCACCAACACGACCGAACCATATTGGATCAGGTCAAGCCGGCCCAGGTACAAAATGGAATTCACACAAGCATCCTGTTGTTGAACTGGCCTGGACAGGGAAGGGGGGAGGGAGGAGAAGCAGAAAGGGTACAAGATGGGGGGAGGGGAGAGACGGGGAGGTGGATGAACCAGGGATGAACTAAGTTGGCTGTTAAGCAGTTTTTAGTTTTGACAGTGTCAACAATGCAGAGACGACCCATTGGTAAGGATGCATTTTTTCCACAGGTCACTGGCCTCCTGTAATAATTTCATTAAACATTGCAATGCAAATAAATGAGACGAACCACTTGTGAGTGCGATTACTTTGACTGGAAGATACATTTTATTTGGAACAGGTAAACATCACAAATATGGACGCTCAAGCTACATCTAGCCAATTTTATAAAACATGTTTTACAGTAACTTTAGATTTTTAGGTACACTGTACAAATGTGCAAGGAGGTTCAATATGAAGAAACTCTGACACATGAACAGAAGATTCTGCACACGTACACTGTTTTTTTGACAAACTGCACTGCATTAAAAAAAAATCACCTTATCTGAGAAAAAATTCGCATGAGTTCATTCTGTGACAGTCCGAGGCCGGACCAGAGAGAGAAATTTGCCACGATGATGGAAAACAGTAGAGCAGCCAAGTTCAATAACGGTCCATTTCAGTCTGAGGACCTCAAGAACTAGACATTGTGCGTGAACAAAACCGATGAAACGTATGTCACTTCCAATGCGGTAGACTCAGGGGGAAAGCTTGACGACTGAACCTGTCACCGGCCCCTGCGAATATACACTGCCAAATCATGTTTATGCATCCTCGGGCGGCAAACTGGTGAATTTGGACTTGCAATGCAAGCTCGATAAGCGCATGTGCAATGTACATGTAGGGACCCAAGGTCAGTTTATCAAACCATGGTACCGGTACATGTACATGTACAAGCTGAGCACTGAATGAGAATGCATCAATCTAGAATTCCATTCAGAAATTATGCTTAGAGAAGTGATTTCCAATGATTTGTGATAATTTACAAGTACTGGCACATTCTTCAACTGAAAACTTGCCAGGAACAAGATCTCGCAATTCTTACAGTATTTCCACACGAAATCCCAAATTCAACACACTTCCTCCACAGGTTGCAGAGAGCTGTGGTTGAAGTCGTGTGTTATGAACATACTTTACTTTGAGTTACCCTCTTGTACAAGAAAAAGATGTTCCATACATGGCATGCACTGCATAAAGAACAGCCTACTGGATGGCATCAAACTAAATGAAGTCCAATGAGGATATTTTTTTAGGTTAATGAGATACATGTACCAGTAACATGTACAGTTCGAACATTACAGGTACACGTATATGTGTACATTGTACTTAAAGGACCACCTTCAAACTTTGCAATAGGTAGTGGCTACTACATGCAAGTTTGGGGGGAAAAACAGACATTACATGCACCTGTGCAGTGTGCTACAGCTGCGTTGCTCATGTGTACGTATGTCCTGTACCCAGGACCTTGTACGAACACATTTACGCAGTACATGTATAGGACATAATAGGCAGCACAGCTGCTCTACGTGTGCATGTTTACATTGTACCGGTACATGTGCACCTGTATGCACGTAATTATAGCCCTCCATGTACATGTACTGTACATACATGTACATACAAATGTAATATCAGAAATTTTCTGAAAATGAAAAGAAAGTACTGTCACTTCTGGGAAAAAAATACAAATTTAACATGTTGACATTTCAACCTTCTCACATTTGCTACAAATGACAGATGCTAAGTGATGCCCCGTACAAGCATGGATCTATACAACTATTGCAGACAAGTGTACATGCAAGGTATACATGTGCATGTACTTACTGGTACAGTATGTGCGATCTTACCGCTGCTCAGCAGTAATTTATCGCATGCACAGTGCTGCACACAGGTGTACATGTACGTACATGTATGTGTACACGTAGGGTGTGGATTTCCACAGTCCAATAATGTACACGATCCCAGGGAAATTTGTGAGTACATTTAGGGGACCTTGCGCTGCAGCTCCTGTCATTCTGAATGCAATTATTATAAGCACCGTGGGTGTACTTGTAGGTACCAGTGCAGACGCAGCATTCATGTATAACACTGCTTGGAATTTGGTAAATTCAACTTTTCGGGGGATGGGAAAATGCACAGTATGTACAGACTTGCAGAGTACAGAACTCTCAAAAATCTTCTTTAATAGATCTGTCACTGTCACAGATGAACCCTTATGCCAGAATTCGATCAGGAAAAAACAAAAAACCTTCCTCCATCACTGACACAGCACACAGTGAAAGGAAGTCAAAACAGTTACGAAAATGGACTGATATTCCAAGGTACATGTACCTGTACCTGTACAAATCAACGACCGATACAGCCTTTCTAATACAGTGCATGGCATGTGGATTAATGTGAGCATGGAAAAGGCATTTTCTGAATGACTAGAGATCATCCAGGCTCAGCCCGAGGTGCTAATTTCTGCTGCGCTTTCACCGCTTGAAGCTGGAGCTCCCGTCACAGCAAATGAACCTTGATGCCGTGCAGCTCCCGATTCCCTTCACTGGTTTCCATCTATTGCCTTGGCAATGCCAGCATCTTTGGAATCGATACCGGCATCCGTCCAGGAGT